GGCCTGAGCAACATAGCAAGACCCCATCTGTACAAAAAATAAATTAGCCAAGTGTGGTGGCCTGCACCTGTAGGCCCAGCTACTCAGGAGGCTAAGGCAGGAGGATCTCTTCAGCCCAAGAGTTCAAGGCTGCAGTGAGCTATGATTGCATCACTGTGCTCCAGCCTGGGTAACAGAGTAAGACTGTGTCTCTAAAAAAAAATTTAAATGAAAAAGAAAAAAAAGTCAGTTTATACATCTGATGCATGCCACAAAGTTGAAAGAGATAGATAACGCTTTCCAGAAATGAGGTTCAAATGGTTTTGGTTGATTACAATAAACAAGATTTAATTTAATTAGGATTAGGGAAAGCCCTAAAGTTATGTCCAAAATTCCAATGGTGAAGCACAGGATTGTTGTGTCCTGACTTGGCAGCAACTCATGGACCAAGAATCTGGGACTTTTAGTGACTGACATTTCAACCTGACCCTGACTAGTCCTGCTCAACTCCTACCCAAATCCTCCAGGCCCTGGTGAAACACGTGGGGCCCACAGGAAAAGAGCTCTCCATGGTCGCCCTGTCTCTGTGAGCTTCAATCCTAACTTACCTGTCTCATCAGCCTCAGGCTTAGCTCTACCGCTGCCCATTCTCTTCTGTACCCCAACATAGCTTCCTTAATTTTATGCACAATTTAATTTTCTGGGTCCCTTTCTTATCTCTCTGCTCATTAGTCATTTCACTTGCAGTCTTCTGGGTCTGCAATTCATACTAGGAGCTTCGGAAGAAATGAAGGATACATTTCTCCTAGAGAAGAGACTATGGGAAGCAAAATAGGACCATCAAATGACAGACAGGATGGACAGGCCCTGCGTTGCTGCAGCCACCACTGTTAGAACCAGAAGGGAGAGAGTTGAAAGAATCAGATGTCTGTTCAATACTAGCCACTTACTGTTTCAATGAATATGTGCGAGCACTTACAATCTGCAAGGTGATAGGCGCTTTGGGCCATCCAAAGGAAGGACTTGCCAACAAATGCAATGCATTCCGTTGAGCTCTAGTGTTGAAGGGGGATCCCTGACCTGCTATTGAGAATGCTGCAGAGTTGATTGCTGCATTGGATAAGGGGACTAGACTCACCCAGTGGCAAAATTCTGTATCTACAGTGCCATCTCCAAGCCAGGCCCACTCTCCCAGAAAGGCACTGACAAAAATGAATCCTTTTGAATGCAGAGGAGTAACAGACCACAAGCTGTAATTTCAAAGGGGTCAGAATGACCTGCAGAAAAGCCTGCAAATATTTCCCTACCTGTCCACTTGCTTCTGGCCCTTTAAATTAGCCCAACCCACTCCCAGGCTGCACCTGCAGAAGATGAAGGGTAGCTGAAAATAGCCACCAGTGTGCAGAGCAATTTCCCAGAACCTCCATTCTCTGATTTGGCTCAGATTCTATCTTAGCCTCCTCCAATCTCCTGGCTCTGACTTCACCTCGGTTATTTGAACCTTGGCTTGACTTATCCTATAGACCAGAGAGGTTTTCCAACTTGAGCCAGCATCAGAATCACCTACAAGACTTATTAAAGCAGAAGCTGCTCATCCCCAGAGGTTTGTTTTTGTTTATCTTTTTTGAGACAGGGTCTCATTCTTTTACCTAGGCTGGAGTGCAGTGGTGTGATCAAAGCTCACTGCAGCCTGGACCTTCCAGGCTCAAGCGATCTTTTCACCTCAGCCTCCCAAGAAGCTGGGACTACAGGCACGCACCACCATGCCTAGCTAATTTTTAAACATTTGTTGTAGAAATGTGGTCTCACTATGTTGTTGCCCAGGCTGGTCTCAAACTCCTGCCCTCAAGTTATCCTCCCACCTCAACCTCTAAAAGTGATGGGATCATAGGAGTGAGCCACCGTGCCCAGTCCAGAGTTTCTAATTAAGTCGGTCTGGGATGGGCCCAATAATTTGCAGCTGTAACAAGTTCCCAGGTAAGACTGATGCTGCTGGTCTGGGACCAGGCTTTGGAAGTCACTGCCCCAGACCTAGGCGTGGTTCTCCCCTCTGCAAGAACCTCTAATCTAACCCAGCCCCGCAGAATCCTACCTCTGTCTCCTAAGCTATCACAGCCCCAGCCATCGCTCCAGTACCCAAGGGGGACTTGGGATGTTACCAATGAAATGATGCCTAAAGTTTCCCAGCATTTGATTCTGAAACCCAGGGTTTCTTGATCTATCAATATGTAAGTGCCCCAGAAGGCATTTTGCCATGGTTTTACAGAGATAATTAATTAAAAATCTTCTGGGAATGGTGTTCCCTCATCGAGAGTTAGCATGTTAAAAAAAAAAAAAAGGAAGAAGAAGAAGAAAACGAACTCTCCCAAATCTTCTTAAATCACATGAGACCCAGCTGGTGGCCTTAGAGTTGCAGACTGAAGTACCCAAGCAGACAGCTTCACAGGAACAGTCAGGGTCAAATGTTAACAGCTGGCTCTAACATAACTCTTATTCTGTGACAGGCTGTGTCATAAATACTTAATATATATATTACATACATTTATTTATGTATGTGTTATTTAGTTCCTCATAACAAACCTATAAAGAAGATTTTGTTATCCTCATTTCACTAAGAAAACTGGGGCACAGAGAGGTCAGGCAACTAGAATGAAGACACACAGCTAGAACATGAGAGAGCCAGGACCAAGCCCGGGAGTGGAGCCCTCAGGTCTATGCGTTCCCCGCTGCACTGCACAGCCTGGGGTAACTTACACAGACTCTGAAATCTGTGTTCTGAATCCAGCCTCCTTTTTCTGCTGAAATATGTACCCCCTGGTTGGGATCCAATTTTCAGGTGCCTGAAGTCCTCCACCCTTTCCTTACCATCCCCACCTTGAAAGAGAAGTGTTCCCTTGTCTAAGAATTTAATTTCAGGCACTGGCAAGCAGAGAAATATGGGGGAGTCACTGGGGAGGGCCTAGACCATACCAGGTCTTAGCTGGCCGCAAACATACACCTGACAGGTTCTTGACTGTTTTTCAGCAACTTAGTGAAGGTGGGATTGCTGGGAGAAGTCCCCAGGGGCTCTCCCCTAAATGGTAGGCCCCTCTGAAGTCATGGTAGGCCAAGGCCACTTACAGGTTTTGAAGATATCTCCAAAAGAAGGGTTTATAATAAATGTTTACATTAAGCAAACACATGTTTAACCCCCCAAATAAATATACTGGGAATGTACAGTTGACCCTTGAACAACAAACGGGGTTGGGACACCGACTCCTTCAGATTGAAACTCCTGGTCAGGCATGGTGGCTCACACCTGTAGTCCCAGCACTTCGGGAGGCCAAGGCAGGAGGGTTGCTTGGGCCAGGAGTTCAAGACCAGCCTGGGTAACATAGTGAGACCTCGTCTCTATTTTTTTCAATTATAAATTAAAAAAATGAAAAGACTCCTGTGAATTCAGTATGTCCCGCCATGTGATGGCAGGGCAGTCTGTCCTCTGAGGGTTGTGGGAGGAAAGTCTTCCCTGCCTTTTGGGTAACTGGAGACACATCTGCAGAGGATACCCACAATCCAAAGCTGAGCACCCCCTATCTGGCCCAATGGCCACCTCTCCCATCTGTGACAGGCCTCGCTGGAGGGGCCTAGCTCTGTGGACCCTGGCTGAGGCTCCAGCATCAGTTGGGCTTCATCTCTGCTTTCTCCCACAGCCCAGACCAGCCTGCCCAGCACTGTCTACCAACCAGAGGCCTCTCTCAGTCTTCTCGCTTCCTAAGCTCCAGCTGAATTCTCCCAGCTTCACTCACTGCTGCCCTAAAACTGAAAATTCATAATATTCTGGTTCATTGACCAATATTTTAATAGGCATCTAATGGGTCTTTTGCTCCTAAAAATCCCTTACCTCATATCCTGGAGCACAGCTCTAAACCTCTATATCATTTCCACCTCTGGTTGTGGAACTTGACCAAATCCACAGAGTCCTTGGCCTGCTTCTCCTTTACTAAAAGGAGGGACATGGTTTTGTTTTGAGTTTGCCCCTTTAGTCTTTCACAAGGGCCATAGGACCACATAGACACCATTCCCACCCAACGTCTGCATGTAAGACAACTGTGGTAGCAACACTGGGTTGCTTGGGCTTCTTTTTGCTGCTGCAACAATGGCTAAACATTTCCCAAGAGTGAGTGCGTCTCAGCATAAAGATAGATGCATGATGCCCAGTTAAATTTGAATTGCAGATAAACAATAAATACTTTTGTAGCATAAGTATAGCCTGTGCAATTTGGTGGATATACTTACACTTAAAAATTATTAGTTGGGTCAGGCACAGTGGCTCGCAATGGTAATCCTAACACTTTTGGAGGCCAAGGCAGGAGGATTGCTTGAGCCCAGGAGTTTGAGACCAGCCTGGGCAACATAGCAAGACCCCATCTCTCCAAAAAATGAAAAAATTACCTGGGTGTGGTATCTTGCACTTGCACAGCAACCCAGGAGGCTGAGGCAGGAGGACTGCTTGAGCCCAGGAGATCGAGGCTGCAATGAGCTATGATCATGTCACTGCACTCCAGCCTGGGCAACAGAGCAAGACCTTGTCTCTAAAAATTAAAAATTAAAGTAAAAATTAAAAATTATTAGTTGTTCATTTGAAATTCAAATTTAACTGGGGTGCTGCATTTTTATTTGCTAAATTTGGTAATGCTAAGCTGACATCAAATAATCCAGTTTAATGAGAGTTCTGTGAAAATATTACCAATAAATACAGGCAGCCCAACGGCCTCACTAAAGTGCCTGCTTTTTGCCTACGGAACAGCAGGCATCTGATTAATGATCACAACTGACCCAGTGTCCAGTAGAAAACAGGAAATTCCCCAAAAGGACATTGCGATGCTACTTGAAAAAAAAAAAATGAAATGAAAAATACTACAAAGTCAAAAGTTAACAAGATCACCATAGTTACCAAACACCCTTTCTAAGGATGACGCGGGGTGAGGTTGGTAAAGATAGATAGATCTCTCCTCTATTATAATTTTTCCAAAGGTACTTACCTAAAAAGCAAAGGGTGATTCAGGACACCTAGGTCCTTTCCTTATTCCAGGACTGGTCACTGTAGGATTGGTGTTAAGGTGAAGACCTTAACAGTAACTTCCACCCCATCCTCAGTGCCTCAATTTCACCCTAGATGCAAACAGAGACCATCAGAAGGCCCTCAGAAGAAAAATGTGTCATGTAGTCAAGGAAGTCTCCCACCATTTAAATAAACAGCCACGGTGAGGTAGCTCTGCCCCTCCGAAGAAAAGGGAGGAAAATTGCCTCATTAAAAAACATTTTCAATAAAAAATTTTCATCAGAAACATTCACAAGAGGGTTTTGGTCAAATGATGCAATAATTTTAAGGCAATAATAACCATGCTTTTGAAAGTCGGTGCTGATTACCAGGTGTATTGAAAATGGCCTTGGGGAAATCTCTGTGCAAATATTTCCTTTTTAGTTTAATTTCAAAGACTACTTAAAAGGAAAAAGGGAGGATGTCTGCAGTAATAAAGGAGCAATCATTTGCACCTGGACAGGACTATGTTTCATCCCAGAATCTAGAGCATTTTGTGTACAGATGGGAGAGCCCGGGTGTGGGCGGAGGTTGCGGGGCAGGGAAGGGACATGGCAAAAAAACAAGGTACCTCTACCAAGGTCACACGGAAACACAGGTGGACTCGATAGCACAGCTCCCACCTGAATACAATCACACAGCCTCCCTGCTCTGAAGAAAGCATGGATCACGTGATGGGAGGTCCTTCCTAGCTTCAAAATCAAAGCCTCTGCAGCTGCCACAAAGCTAATAAGGCCATGGACAAGTTTACTGAGCATCTGCTACATGCACAGCCCGTTGGGCACCACAGGGGAGAATGAAGAGGGATAGACCCTAATCCTGCCAGCAAGTGCAAGACGAGCTCAGGAGGCAAGACTGGCTTGTGCGTGTGTGCAGAGTGACTTAGTACTACCCTCTTTATGAGAGATGGAATCTGTCAGCGAGGGTGTGAGGGGGTATACAGACCTTCCTCAGGCCTCCAAGTGTAGGAGAGACTTAGATAGAAACGTGGGACATTTCATAATGTTTCATAATGTCTTATATTCCACCCCTCTCTACTAGAAAACTGGAGAACCCCTGCCTTTCCCCCAAGAAATGCAAAATAGACTTCAGGCTGGTCCCAGGCTGTTTGCAGAAAACCAGACATTGGAGGTCTCTTCCAAGAAGTTCAAAAGGGGTTCTGGTTAGTGTATCCCTTCTCTATTTGTGTTTTGCTGGTTTCTTGCCCCACCCAATCCTTTATTCGCTCCCTCTTTTCTTCTTTTCCTTCCCACAAAAGAAAAACTCATAATGAGACCACAAGACAAGGACAGCAGAGAAGCTCCTGGATTCTCACCCATTTTGCTGAACTCTTGGGGGAGCAATGGTTCCTGTTAGGGCTGAGCCATGGTCTGAGCTGGGAGGAGGGTCACAATGACCAGGACAGGACCGCTGGTGTCCACGGTCCCCCCATCCACTACATGCTTACAGAATAAAGGATTCGACAGGTCAGTAGACGGCCACTATCAGAGGGACCCGCTGTCATCCACTACCCCAGGGCTGGTCACCGAGCAGCCTGGATGTTCTGGAATAGTTTCCATTTCAAATGATATATTGACCCCATAAATCATCCAAATGGCCTGGAAATTATAACATTTCAGCATCCAAGCTACAATTTCAAAAATGGCCCCTCACATTTGGAATCGGTACAAATATCTTCCACCAGCCCAGATCTCCTGGCTGGGTTTCAGAAACTAGGATCACTGCTAGAGGCTGGTGGGAAAGTATGAAATTTGACCTTCATGATCCCCACACACCCTTTCAGCCACCTGTTCCCACCTACTGCCCAGCTGACTCCACCCTCCCTCTGCCGCTTTTTGGTGAAAACCTGCCCCAATTAGCATCCGGCAAGCATACACCAGCAAAAAGACTGAGGAGGATGTTAGGATATTTGCATCCTCACAAGAGACAGCGTCTTGAGACAAAGGGATGAAATCCTAATAAGGAATTAAGGGGTTTAAGCAAAGTGTAAGAGAATATAGAGAAGGCTGGGCTTGGTGGTTCATGACTGTAATCCCAGCACTTTGGGATGCCAAGTTGGAAGGACCGCTTAAGCCCAGGAGTTCAAGACCAGCCTGGGCAACATAGCAAGACCCTGTCTCTACAAAAACAAAAAACAAAAAAGAACAGATTAAAAAATTTAGTCGGGTGTGGTGGCACGCACCTGTAATCCCAGCTACTTGGGAGGCTGAGGTGGGAGGATCACATGAGCCCAGGAGTTGGAGATTTCTGATTCCTCGCCTTTTGCTGTGATACTTCCGATTGTCTCCATCTTTGGCAAACCCTGGGACACACCTTCCCTAAGTAGAATCCCCACAGGGAGATGTGTGGAATGAGCCAAGAGAGAAACCACGCTTGAAAAATCTCTCTTTTCTTTGTTCTTCTGGCCACCTGCGGAAGATGGGTAAGCTTCGCCCTTTTCCAATCCTCTAATCAAAGAGGATGCGTGAAAGTCTTTGAAGAAAGTCTCTGCAGAAGGCTGATTCACCCTCAATTTTTCCCTCCGCCTTCTCCTCCTATGGCCTGTAATTTCCACAATTAGAAATTAATTCCTTTGAATTTTTTCTGCTAAAATACATATAAGCCTGGGAAAGGAAACAGCAGTTTTATTCCAAAGCGAATGTACTTATTCTGAAAGAGTATTTTGATAAGGGGAGAAAGAATTTAAGAGTTCCTGGGAATGAGGGAATTGGGAACGGTTAAAAGGAGACTCAAAGAAAGGAGAAACAACTTTGGAATGGAAAGATTCCATCGGGAGGGGGCCAAGCCAAATTTTTCCTCTCTCAGAGCTTTGCACAAGCCAAGCAGGTCAGAACCAGGTCTCCAATCAGCAAAAGGAGGTAAAAGGTTGGGGAATATTGGAGCAAGTTCAGGCATTGGATACAAAGGCTTCCTTTCGTCTAGGCATTGTGTAAGCCCCAAGGGTGCAGTGAAAGATAAGACCCAGCTCCTGCCCTGAATGTAGAGTTCACAACATAGTTGGGAGAATCAGTACTCATCATTTGGGTTGAGGGCCTTGGATGTTCTGGCCACACACAGAGGAGGGGCACGGTCAGCAGGCACCTGATGCAGCCTGGAGAAAGGGGAGGATGGGACACATAGACTGGCTATAAAGAAAAAGACAAGTTAGAAGTAGCCTAACCAGTGACCAGGCACGGCACTTACACCTGCAATTCCAGCATTTTGGGAGGCCAAGGCAGGAGGATCGCTTGAAGCCAGAAGTTCAAAACCAGTGTGGGCAACATGGTGAAACTCTGTCTCTACAAAAACTAACAAAAAACAGCCTGGTATGGTGGCACACACCTGTGGTCCCAGCTACTTGGGAGGCTGAGGTGGGAGGATTACCTGCACTGGGAAGGTCAAGGCTGCAGTGAGCCCTGATTGTGCCACTGCACTTCACCCTAGGTGACAGACAGAGACCCTGTCTTAAAAAAAAAAAAAATCAGCTGAGCATGGTGGTATGCAGTTGGAATCCCAGCTACTCAGGGGCTAAGGCAGAAGGATCACTTGAGCCCAGGAGTTTGAAGCTGCAGTGAGACGTGATCACACCACTACATTCCAGCCTGGGTGACAGAGCAAGACCCTGGCTCTAAAAATAAATAAATAAAACTTTTTTTAAAAAAGAAGTAGCCCACCAGGAAAAGGAAAGGCATACCCAGTGGAGGAGAGCACATAAGCAAAGGCTTGAAGGAAAGCACCTTCTATGTGGTTGGAATGTAGGTCCTTAACGGGACGTGAAGGGAGATGAGGCTGCAAAGGTGTTTGGCCATCAGAGCACTGGAGGTCATGTCAAGAAGTTTCAACTCCTGGCCGGGCACAGCGGCTCACGCCTGTAATCCCAGCACTTTGGGAGGCCGAGGCGGGTGGATCACCTGAGACCAGGAGTTCGGGACCAACCTGGCCAACATGGTGAAACCCCATCTCTACTAAAAATACAAAAAGTAGCTGGGCATGGTAGCGGGCGCCTATAATCCCAGCTATTTGGGAGCCTGAGGCAGGAGAATCTCTTGAACCTGAGAGGCAGAGGTTGTAGGGAACGGAGATCGCGTCATTGCACTCCAGCCTGGACAACAAGAACGAAACTCCGTCTCAAAAAAAAAAAAAAGAAGTTTCAACTTCCTTGGGAAAGCAATCACAAACTTCTGAAGAATTGTAAGCAGAGGACTACATGGCAATTTGTATCTGCCTTGTTCACCAGAAGGCAGGCAGATGATGGAATGGAGGGGAAAGAGGCTGGGGACAGGGGCGTCAGTTAGGAGGTTATGATAATAGATTCGAGATGAAGGACTCACCTGAAGCACGTGCAGAGAATATAGAGGAAGATTGGGAAGATCTGAGGACCAAGGTAGGAGCTGAGGGAATGTAGGAGGGTGACAATTGCCTGGATTGCCAGCAGAGCCACTGGGGAATGGCTAACTGTCCACTGAAAAAAGGAAGGCAGGGTTGTCATGCAGGGCTTAGGCTTGAAAGTTTGGATGAAAGCAAAATTTCATATGGCCAACATTGCACTTGAAAATCCCTTAAATTATCCATAATGTACAGTAGAGATCATCACAGGTTTGGTTGAATCAGATGAAGTTCCAAGGGCTTGTTATATGTGAAATGCAGACTTTTTTTTTTTTTAAGTCAGGGTCTTGCTCTGTCACCCAGGATGGAATACAGTGGCATAATCTCACTGCAGCCTTGAATTCCTGAGCTCAAGCAATCCTCCTGCCTCAGCCTCCTAAGCAGCTGGGGTTATAGGTGCATGCCACTGCTCTCAGCTGAAATACAGATCTTAAACCCCAAAAATCACTCAGCATGGAGAGATGCTCATTACAGGAAAAACACAAGGAACTCCACAGAGATAGAAGAATCAGGTCTTCCACTCCTTCACCCCAGGGTTTTCAGCCATAGGTAGAATGACTAGCGGGAACTCCAAGCAAGTTTGAGTCTATGATTCTCAACCTTGGCTGCACATAGGAATCACCTGGGGAACTTTGAAAAATACAGATGCCTGGGTTCCACCCCCAGAGATTCTGATTCCATCCTTCTAGAGAACAGCCTAGGTATCTGAATTCTAAGGTGCAGACAAGGTTGAGAACCACTGGTTTAAGTTGTTCTCTCTCCTCACCCTTGCCTCATTTGAATTTCTATGAGTTAAAGGGCAAAGGGTGAATTCAGTTTTGGACTTATGGTGACTTTCGGACGTTCAAGCAAAGACATCCTCTACCCTCCACTAATGATCCCTCTGGGTCTTATAAATGTTTATCCAGGCAGCCCTGGGTTCAGTAACAGTTCCTGATTGAGGGGTACAGTTGCTGGGATGGGGAAGATGCTCTTCCAGACAGTAGTTCCAGACAGCTTGACTCTGAAACACAAACAAACAGAAAATAGTCACTCTGCCTCCCAACCTGTTCAGCACTGGGGAGGTGGCAGGGTGGGGATCAGGGGAAGATTTCAAAACAAGGGCAACATTTACTAGGCTTTTCCAACCACACTAGAATAGTTATTACAGCAAATAGCCGATTTGACTGCTATGAGTCTATAATTTCAACCTCTGAAGTAACATGTTCTCAGAGCTTCTGGTATCTCAGTTTGTTGATGCAATGAGGAAAATCCAAGGATAGTACTTCAGGTACGTCCCCATGCCCCAGGTGGTAGTGCCCTAGTGAGAACCAGGCTCTGCAAAATCAGGCTCCAAGACCGTCACAAGGAGCCTCCTTCAGAGTCTAGGTTAGGGCTGAGTTCTTATTTTTCTTCCCATACTTGTAATCTGCATGCCCTCTCCTTAAAATGGTCAGTGTTTTACAGGAACGCGGTCCTGATCCAGACCCCAAGAGAGGGTTATTGGATCTCGCACAAGAAAGAATTCAGGGCAAATCCATAGAGTAAAGTGAAAGCAGATGTATTAAGAAAGTAAAAGAATAGGGCCAGGTGCGGTGGCTCATGCCTGTAATCCCAGCACTTTGGGAGGCCGAGACGGGCGGATCACCAGAGGTCGGGGGTTTGAGACCAGCCTGACCAATATGGAGAAACCCCATCTCTACTCAAAATACAAAAACTTAGCCAGGCGTGGTGACACATGCCCATAATCCCAGCTACTCCGGAGGCTGAGGCAGGAGAATCACTTGAACCCAGGAGGCAGAGGTTGCAGTGAGCCGAGATCGCGCCATTGCACTCCAGCCTGGGAAACAAGAGCAAAACCCCGTCTCAAAATAAAAAAATAAAAGCAGAAGAATAAAAGAATGCCTACTCCATAGATAGGGTAGCCCTGAGGGCTGCCAGTTGCCCATTTTTATGGTTATTTTTTGATGATATGCTAAATAAGGGGTGGATTATTCATGCCTCCCCTTTTTAGACCATATAGGGTAAATTGATATTGCCATGGCATCTGTAAACTGTCATGGCACTGGTGGGAGGGAGTGTAGCGGTGAGGATGACCAGAGGTCACACTCGTCGCCATCTTGGTTTTGGTGGGTTTTGGCTGGCTTCCTTACTGCAATCTGTTTTATCAGCAAGGTCTTTATGACCTGTATCTTGTGCTGATCTTCTATCTCATCCTGTGACTTAGAATGCCTTAACCGTCTGGGAATCCAGCCCAGTAGGTCTCAGCCTCATTTTACCCAGCTCCTATTCAAGATGGAGTTGCTCTGGTTTGCACGCCTCTGACAACTGTTTCTCCAGGCATCTTCCCTGGGGCATCTTTAAAACTCTAACTCCAGAAAATCCTGACCACCCCTCTCCCCAAGAGGCAATGAAGACCGAGTCAGTCTATCCTCGATCCACAGGATGACCTACTAGCTAGCAACCAGAACAGAAGTGCCACACCAGTCCAGAGTGAAGGCCTTCAAACACAGCTGAGGGCTACCGCCAGTCACTCTACTTTGATTTGCTGGACACTGATAGGGCCTCCCCATGAGGTCCCTGAGGGAAAAAGAGCCAGTCCCAGACTTTTGGGCATTCAAATCTAGTCAGTGTTCTTTTTTTTTTTTTGAAACCTAGTCTTGCTCTGTCACCCAGGCTGGAGTGTAGTGGCGCAATCTCAGCTCACTGCAAGCTCCGCCTCCTGGGTTCACGCCATTCTCCTGCCTCAGCCTCCTGAGTAGCTGGGACTACAGGCACCCGCCGCCGTGCCCAGCTAATTTTTTGTATTTTTAGTAGAGACGGGGTTTCACCGTGGTCTCGATCTCCTGACCTCGTGATCCGCCCACCTCGGCCTCCCAAAGTGCTGGGGTTACAGGCGTGAGCCACCACGCCTGCACAAATCCAGTCAGTGTTCATCAAGCCCATGATGGAGGAGGCGCAGCAGGTTAGACCATCACTTGAATCCTAATGGGAGATCCCGGGTTGACCCTGATTTCCTGGAGCTGGTGCTTTAACCCTTCAAGAAGGCAGCTCTTCTGTGGAAGCCCCAGCCCAGCCAGCCCACAGCAGCCAATCAAGGGCAGGCACTTCTGTCAAGGGCAAGTCCAGCAGCCAATCCAGGGCAGACACTTCCGTCCAGGGCAGGTCCAACGGTCAATCCAAGACAGGCACTTCCGTGGAGGGCAGGTCAGGCCCAGCGCTCAGCTGACACATGTTGTTTGGGTTACCCCCACCTAGGGGCCAAGGGAAACCCTTGGCCTTCTGAAGGTTCTCTGAAAAATCAACTCACAAAAGGGAGATCAATTGGAAAAAAGACATGTAAATTTATTTAACGTGTATACACGGGAGCCTTCAGAATGAAGACCCAAAGATACAGGGGATATTGTCCACTTTTATGCTTAAGTTCAACGAAGTATGGACAGCCATGTAGAAATAGGATTGGACAAAAAGTCCATCCTGATGGACTGACTGGGGACACCCAGCAAAGCCTATCTGTCTAGAATCTTCTTGGCCTCTCCGAGCAGCATTTCCTTCTGGGTGTGGGGCAGGACCCTCTCTGGAAAGGAAATCTTCTGCCCTGCTGTCAAACAAGCTCGATCAGATAATTTTTCATGGTGAGTTTTTACACAGAAAAGCAGAGGGGACATTAAAGTAACATTTTTAGGTTTTATGGCTGGCTTTGGGGAAAATGGGTTCCGGTTTCTATGATCCGCCATGGAAAAGAGGGATTCTAGTTTCTCTGGCCAGCCTCAGGGGAGAATGAGAGGCAGAGCCAGGGGGACAGGAGAGGGCCAGAGGAAAAGTTTTGCTTCTGAGGCCTTCATTTTGGGGGGGTATTGTTTTCTGAGCCCAAACACCCACCTTGGGTTACCCCAATCCTGCTAACCACACAGAAGTCTGGGACAATCATCTCCTAACCTGAGGGTAAGGGAGAGATTCCCATTCTTGTCTTTGGGATTCCTTAGATCTCCAGTGGCTTCAGTGGGTGGCTGTGAAATTCTTGAAACAAAAGCAGTTCAAATTCATTTTCACTTAAAAAGAAATTAATGCCAAATCGTAGAGCACTTTCTGGGGGCTGAGAGAAAGGAAAAGATGTCACAAAATTGACAAATTTATGTAATGTATTCATTCATCAACACCCACCATCTGCCAAGTACTGTTCAACGTCCTGGCACTACACACACGAATGAGGCACGGCCCCTGGCCCCAGCAAGGTCTCAGTTTGGTTTAAGAAGTAGATGATTGGCCTGGCACGGTGGCTCACCCCTGTCATCTCAGCACTTTGGAAGACTGAGACTGGTAGATCACGAGGTCAAGAGATCGAGACCATCCTGGCTAACATGGTGAAACCTCGTCTCTACTAAAAATAGAAAAAAATTAGCCGGGCATGGTGACAGGCGCCTGTAGTCCCAGCTACTCGGGAGGCTGAGGCAGGAGAATGGTGTGAACCCGGGAGACAGAGCTTGCAGTGAGCCAAGATCCCACAACTGCACTCCAGACTGGGCGACAGAGTGAGACTCCCACCTCAAAAAAAAAAAAAGCAAATGATTGCAGTAGTCTGTGTTAACAACTGTGACAGAGGTGACATGGCAGCCCACATGAGATGTTGAATTCTGCCTGAAGGTATCAGGAAAAGGTTTGAGAAGATTGGTAGGAAATCACCAATCAGGATGTAAGAACAAGCAGTGTAGGGGGAGACGGAACGTGTGAAGCCACAGAGCCATGTGAGAAGGTGGCACCTTCAGAAACCAACTTCCAAAGTCTGGGACCTCAACCTCTGTGTCCAGCTAAGGCTTTGTCTGGCCCAGGAAGTGGGTTTTCCTGACATCATCCTACTGAAGTTTCTTCTTCACTGCACCCTGAATCCATGCACATATGTCTGATAAGCACGGGTCCAGGTATGTGGCCTTGGGAGTCACATACGTCATCCTCTGCAGGTTGCTAAAAATAACTTGGCCATCTGCTGCCTGCCATCACACCTGCCCAGAAAGAAGTCAACCAGGTAGGCCTTGCCAGAAAGCAGGAGTCGGCAGGGGAGGACGCTGGCAATGTTGCAATTTGACTAACTATTCATTGGTTTTCAAGCATTTCAGGAGGCAAGATTTTTGCCACACAGATACCCTGGCCTTGGAGAATCCTCTAAAGGGGAGGAAAGCCAGCATTTTTTTTTTTTTTTTTTTTTTGAGCAGGGTCTCACTCTGTCACTCAATCTAGAGTCTAGTGACACAATCATGACTCACTGCAGCCTCCACCACCCAGGCTTAAGTGATCTTCTCACCCCAGCCTCCCAAGTAACTGGGACTATAGTCACATGCCACCACACTTGACTACTTTAAAAAAAACAATTGTTTTGTAGAGAAAGGGTCTCACTATAATGCCCAGGCTGGTCTCGAACTCCAGGGCTTGAGCGATCATCCTACCTTGGCCTCCCAAAGTGCTGCCATTACAATTGTGAGTCACAGCGCCCAGCCTGTTCTTGTGGAGTAGCTGGTCTCCACCCAACCATGGGTCAGTTGCTTTGTATAAGTTACTATGATCTCTACTTAAAGAGGAAATTGAGGCTCTCACACCAGCACACAGTGAGAAGGGGTGAAGTCAAACACTACCCTAAGCCTCTATAAACCCCATAGCCATGCCTGCCTTCCCAGCAAAACCCTCCTCCAGTCAAGCCAACAGCTCCGAGATGCACCCTTTTACCTCCATCCCCTGCCTACTGATTTTCGAGAGGCCTCTCTCCTGCACCATGATCCTCCCCTTCGGCACGACTCCTTCATCTGGGAACTGTCCTCAACCACACATGCAGGCCAGTTTAAGAGCAGGTGCTTTTAAACTTTCTGAACAATCTTTATTTTAAAAAATAATGGCTATATACGTATGAATCCCTGGACAGGAAGCCAATTTGTATATTCCTTTCCTAGAGAGGTCCTCGCTTGCCTGACATCAGAGAAAATGAATACATGACAGAAGAAACAGAAGAAAATGGAAGAATCAAGCTCCAAAATAAAATCCTGACAAGTCTGAGATGTAAAAATAATCCATTCATAACACCTTATTCTCCATGCAGATATCCCTGTGTGACCCTAGAATTTAGGATCTTCCAATGCTGGGGATGTGATGTCACTAGACTCCAGCCTTGTGCCCTTTCTGTCAGTGCCTCTACCTGTCCTTGGTCTGCTGAGCACTCCCCTTCTCAGGGCACACCTTACCTGCACGGTGCTCCAGGACACCTGGTTTTCCTTGTCCACTTCACACCTACCCGTTCTCTCCCAAGCCAAGGTAATGGGAGGCTCCTCAGAATCCAGTCCTCCAGGCTCCCATTCCATTCAGAAAACACGGCCTTTCCCCCCCCATTTCTCCTGAATCTTCAGTGCCACACATGCTATTGTTCCTCTGTTTTTTAGAAGTCATCGCTCTCAAGCCATCATTTTATTCTCACTCTCCTTTTTGGACTCCCCCCAACACTTCTCTCTAGTCTCCTAATTATGCTCTGTTCAAGGGCACCAGAGTTCAAGCTTGTCTTTTACACACAATGTAAAAGCAGGTCGAATAAGATGGTATAGTCGTATAGACTACAGCCTTGTACAGTCATGCACGGAGTGTAGAGGGGTGGGACAGGAGACACGTTCAGGGGTCTAGATAGGAGAAGGCGTGGGTGTCAGAATGAAGTTGGGATAGAGGTTGAAGTAGAAGTACAGAAGTAGAAGCAAGAGCTTGAGCTCTGGAGTTAGATATCACCTTTTTCATAAGCTTCAGTTTCCCTTTTTGTAAAATAGGCACAATGATGCTGGCATGAAAAAGTTATTAAACAGACTAAATTTGATGCAAAGTGCTTCACTTATATGACCTCATGCTGTTGTTATTCCTTTTTTTTCTTTCAACAAGTGAAGAAATTAGAGCTTAATGCTTATGTCACTTGCCCAAAACCACACAGTTTGTAAACAGCAGAGCCAGGAATCAAACCCCAGCTGGTCAGTCTCCATCACCCCTGCTTTTAGTCACCACGCGGCCTCAAACGACCTCAGACATTCCAATTCCCAGTGGGACCACATCCTTGCCTCAGAAATCACAGCTCCGGTGACTCCACCAAGGAGTGAGATAGCCACACAGCTATTCAAAGTTGAGCCAGCATGGGAAACCATGTCATCCCAACTTAATCATCTCTAGGATAGGTATCATCCTCACCAGTGCTGCCCCCACCTCACCACTCTTGAATCAGTAATGGACAGGTTGGCCAGCAGCCTGCTATGTGAACTGCAGCTCTAACATTGCCAGCTCTGCCCACACCCTAGAAGTGGGTAGTTACAGGCTCTTTGAGGCCAACCATGCTTCTTTCCCTTCAGATCTATGTCCTCAGCTCAGCGGGGCATGTACTAAGTGTCCAATTAAATACCTGCTTGTTGAGGTATGGGGCGAAGGTGTCTGCTGGTGCCAAGACAAGAACCTGGCAAAGGACTGGAGTGGCACATTTCTCAGGAGCCACCAGCCAACTGAGTTCACTGTGGGATCTGCCCTCTTGAAATGTGTCACTGGCAGACAGAGCCAGTGAGCACTGTCTGAGTCCTAGATCCCACTCAGCTCCAACTTCACAGGGGACCCCCCAAGCCTAAAGCAGCCAGAGGGAGCCAGAGGGAGGAGCAACATGAATCATCCTCATAACATTTGTGTGAATATTACACATTTAGCTTTACTCACAAGTTGTAGGTTTGATAGAAGCAATCTTCAAAAATACTGTACAGTGAATATAATTATTTTCTTACGATCCATATTGATTTTAATTATGCCAACCATCCAGACACCTTCTCTTCTCTGGTATCTCTCTTGTCACATTATTTACTCTCAAATCAGCTACTTTTCAAGCCATTTATTAATTTTTTTTTCAAGCCTACAAAAAAGATGCAAGGACTTTTTTTCAAATCTGAAATATCAGATCTATTTTAAAATTTAAAATTTATAATATAGAAAGAAATATTGAAGTAAACACCCAATATCTGCTCATAATCCCTTTCCCAAATATCACCACTATAATAGGCTGGTTTATACCCTTCCTGAGTTTTAATGTGTATGTAAATATAAATGTAACATACATGAATTTGGTCATTCAAATATACTGTCCTGAAACACTCGTTATACTTTGACAGTCTTCTCACAGGATAACTGTTGATGGTTATACATGTAGATTTGAGCCATAATTTTTAATAAATGCTTACTTAATATTTTCATTGAATAAAAATTCCTTTTTTTTTTTTTGAGATGGAGTTTCACTCTTTTTGCCCAGTCTGGAGTGCAATGGCACAATCTTGGCTCACTGCAACCTCCATCTCCCAGGTTCAAGCAATTCTCCTACCTCAGCCTTCCGAGTAGCTGTGATTACAGGCATGCGCCACCACGCCCAACTAATTTTTTTAGTAGAGATGGGGTTTCTCCATGCTGGCCAGGCTGGTCTCGAACCCCTGACCTCAGGTGATCCACCCACCTTGGCCTCCCAAAGTGCTGGGATTACAGGCGTGAGTCACTGCACCTGGCCCCTTTTTTTATTTATTTATTTGTTTGTTTATTTATTTATTTATTTTTGAGGCAGAGTCTTGCTGTGTCACCCAGGCTAGAGTGCAGTGGCGTGATCTTGGCTCACTGCAACCTCTGCCTCCCAGGTTCAAGCTATTCTCCTGCCTCAGCCTCCTGGGTTGCTGGGATTACTGGCACCCCTCCCCACCACACCCAGCTAATTTTTGTATTTTTAGTAGAGACAGGGTTTCACCATGTTGTTCAGGCTGGTCTCAAACTTCTGACCTTGTGATCTGCCCGCCTCGGCCTCCCAAAGTCCTGGGATTACAGGCGTGAGCCGCTGCACCCAGCCCAAAACTTCCATTTTTAAAAATCAATACCATGTAAATGGATATTTAAGCTGTTTTCATGTCTTTGCTATTTTAAACAAGTCAAAAACAGACATTCTTCTTGATTATTTTCTTAAGATAAATTCCCAGAAGTAGAGAGATGCCTGGGCAAAGGAGTTGCATATTTTACATTGTAATGTCTATTTCTGGGCTACCTTCTAGAAAGGAGGCCTGCTGTGAAGGTCCTGCATAAAGAAGTATCTTTCTTGAGTATTACAACTCTAAAGAGCTCAGAGGATGGCAAGGGGCTCTCCCTGACTCCCCAGGCATCCCCCACTGGGAAACAGAAGTGGGAATGGCACGCCTTTTCATGCTTTCTTGACCCTTACTGAAAGCAAAATCCAGGCAAACTCTTGAATCAAGATAATTTTTTTAAATTTCTAGGATCTTTTTTTTTTTTTTTTTTTGAGACAGTCTTGCTCTGTTGCGCAGGTTGGAGTGCAGTGGCGCAGTCTCAGCTCACTGTGCAAACTCCACCTCCTGGGTTCAAGTGATTCTTCTGCCTCAGTCTCCCAAGTAGCTGGGATTACAGGCAGCACCACCGCACCAGGCTAATTTTTGTATTTTTAGTAGAGATGGGGTTTCACCATGTTGGCCAAGCTGGTCTCGAACTCCTGACCTCAGGTGATCCGCCCACCTCAGCCTCCCAAAGTGCTGGGATTGCATGTGTGAGCCACCACACCCAGCCTTTTTTTTTTTTTTTTTTTTTTTTCATTTCTAATAATCCCTTCGCTCATGCGGCCCAAAGATTTCCTGGTTATTTACAAATTTAGATGACATTCATTACATCTGAAAATTTTAAAAATCGGAAGAAAGTGTACAGTGCACACAGAGAGACACTATATATATTCTAATACCAATGCGAGAATGACTTGACAGAACTAGTTACAAGAAAAGGAATAACCCTCCAAGATCTCCAAGAGTGACTTAAGTCTTGTTGTCTCCTCTTCCACAAAACCTCATTTTCCAAACCTGGCATTCAAGAGCAGTCTAGCCCCATCATAAAATGTAAAGCCTTCTTTTTCCTAAACTCCTTTTTTCTCTAGTGAAGCAGAAACCATTGTCTTTTACTCAAACCTATTGAGCTTTCCTGCCTTATGTCTTTGTAGTTAGTAATAAAAGATGTCACCCTTTATTGAACATCTACTATATGCCAGGCACCATGCTAAGTGCTTTATGGAGGTGTTGGGACTCAGAAAACAATACCCCAAAACAAAGACCTGAAAAGCAAAAGTTTTTCTCTGATCTTCTCCCGCTCTCCTGTCTCTTACTTAGTCCATTCTACCCCCAAACCTAGCTATAGAAACTAGAGCGGGTCATAGAAACCAGAACCTCTTTTCCCCAAAACCAGCCATAAAACCTAAAAACATTACTCCAACTTTCCCTTCACCTTTGCATGTAAAAACTGGCCATAAAGAAATTATCTGACCTACCTTGTTTGACGGTAGGTCATAAGACCTTCATTTTAGAGAAAGTCCTGCTCCATTCCCAGATGGAAAAGAAGCTGCTCAGAGAGGCCAAGAAGAATCTAGACAGGCTTTGTTGGGTTTTCCCACTCATAATAACTAATCTATCAGCATTAGATCAGCCTATTTTTGTCCATCATGTTTCTGCACCGCTGTCCATACTTCATTGAACCTGAGCATAAAAATGGACAATTAGCCCTGTATCCATGGGTCGTCATTCTGAAAGCTCCCCTGTACACACATAAAATAAATTTGAATGCCTTTTCTCTAGGTAATCTGCCTTTTATGAGTTGGATTTTCAGCAAAACTCTGTTTTCCCTACAGAGGATATTTTAGGTAAGCCTTATAACAATCCTATGAAGTAGGTACTATTCGTCCCCATCTTACATATGGAAAAATGGAGTTTAGAAAGGTTAAGTAACCTACACCCAGCCACACAGCTATTCAAAGGTGAGCCAGCATGGGAAACCATGTCATCCTAACACCAACACGTCAGCGTTCAGTCTCTACCCTGCATTGTCTGACACTCTGCTCTCTCCCGCTCCTCACAATCCAAATCCTCAAGATGCAACTCGAAATCTCTCTCTTTAATAGTGTCCCACTTTCTTCTTTTTTTGTTGTTTGTTTTTTGAGATAAGGTCTCACTCTGTCACCCAGGCTGGGGTGCAGTGGCATGATCTCGGCTCACTGCTCTGACTCCTAGGTTCAAGCAATGCTCATGCCTCAGCCTCCTGAACAGCTGGGATTACAGACACATGCCACCACGCCCAGGTTTTTTGTTTGTTTGTTTGTTTTTTGTATTTTTTGGTAGAGACAGAGTTTCACCATGTTGGCCAGGATGGTCTTGAACTCCTGACCTCAAGTGATCTGCCCACCTCAGCCTCCCAAAGTGCTAGGATTACAGGTGTGAGCCACCGTGCCTGGCCTTTTTTTTTTTTTTTTTTTTTTGAAACAAGATCTCACCCTGTCACGCAGGCTGGAACACGATGGCATAATCTTGGCTCTCAGCTCACTGCAACCTCCACCACTGGGGTTCAAGCAATTCTCTCGTGCCTCAGCCTCCCAAGTAGCTGGGATTATAGGCGCACACCACCATGCCTGGTTTTTTGTTGTTGTTGTTGTTGTTTTTTTTCAGTGTCCCACCTTCAACCAAAGAGAGCTAAAGAGACTCTTCAAAAAGAGAGCTGAATGCTCTTTTGTCATTCTGAATCTTATTGTCTGAACTCTGAAGAGGTCGTCGTTTCTACTCCTTGCCACCACTGTTTCAGTTTAATTCATTCAGTTGATCAGTTTTTCTTCAGTCTCATCCATGGACCAGGCCCTGCCAGGTGAACAGTCCGCACCCCCAATCCTCAAGGAGGTGAGGTCAGGTCGGTCGGGTCTCCCGACTAGATGGTGAGCTCATTGGAGGCAGGGACCAGATGGGTGCCTCTCTGCATTCTCTGCAACACTGGGAGCCCAGG